ATTTTTCTATCATGCAAAACCTCAAAGTATGGTGTACCAGGTCCATTTGAGTACCGGGAAAAGGCTTTGCATGCATTTTTCATGATGAAAAAAGTCTCTGGATAACATCTAGAAATGGAAGAGTTAAAAAATGTTTCCAAATGCAAATGCTTATAAACGCAGTTAGCCGTGTTTACATTCGTTTGAAACGCTGATAAAATCTACTCCTGAACGCAAGTTTGGTGCATTAAAAAAAATGACTGTAAACTCAACTGCCTGTAAATGACTGTAAGCAACATAGTGGTGGAGTGAGTCATTAAGGCCACCGGGCAGGGGGTCTGCATGAGGAAATTGAGATGTTAATGACCATTCACACATCTTTTGTTTCCAAGGGTGGGAGAGGTCTGAGGTGTGAATTGGTCATTACAATGTGTGACAAGCTTGGTAGGAACATCCTGTGTTCAGTGTTTTGTTCATCTGAGTACCTTAAAAATGCTTTGCATGCATTTTTCATGATGAAAAAAGGCTCTGGACAGCATCGGGAACTGGAAGCGTTAAAAAAAATTTTCAAATGCTTATAAATGCGATTTGCCGCGTTTGCAAGCGTTTTGCGTTTGAAATGCTGATAAAATCGACTGCTGAACGCAAGTTTTCTGTGTTAAAAAAAAAACGGCTGTAAACTCAACTGCCTGTAAATGACTGTAAGCGACGATGTGTACATGGACACATAGAAAAACATTAAAGAGAGTTCAGGGGCTGCTGGGGGAAAAAAAAAAAAACGCAGAAAAGCTCCTAAACGTGAGTTTATCAGCTGCAGTGTACATGGAGCCTTCAAAGTCAGCAGTTACAGTTTTTGTAGCTGCAGACTTTTAATAAACACAAAAAACGGCTGGAAATCCGCAAAATAATGTAAAATTCATTTGGATATAGCATTACATGACAATTGTCAGACTATGACAGCAGTGAAAAACATAATATTGCCTGGAAATGAAGGGGTATTACAGGATGTTACTCAATCGGTGAGCTTTCGTGAGAAGTGTGTAATTAGCCATATTATCTCAAGTTATTTGAAACCCAAGGATGAGACATATGGGGGGGGGGATGCAATAGCGTGATCCACCCATTTTGTAGAATCCTGATGCTCCAGATCATACAGAGTGTACTGTATCTATTGTCGGATAAATGTCTGACCAAACGCTTACGTCAGCAATACACAGAAATAAAGATGAGTCATTGAGCAATGTCATCACTCCTTGGGAAGTTCTGAAAGCAGGACGGGGCCATTGTAGGAGGGGTGGCTACGTCACTCCCATGAGAAGTGTTTGGTCAGACAGATACTTTGAACATCTAAGCAAATAAACATCACATTCTGCACAAGGATTATCCACCGTTTAATGGTTGCTAGACAACTCCTGACACGTGCTAGTCTCTCAGCTGAAATGATAATTATGGCTGTGTAGGTGTTAAAGGGAATCTAGCCCTAATAACAAAAATATTCTTTAGTCTTTAGATGTGGTGGTTACATTCCATTTCAGATTCGATTTTTATTTTAATCACTCGAGCTCTGGAAGGTTTTACCCCCCTTATGAGCGGGCCATTTTTTTTGCTATTCAGCACTGTGCTACTTTAAACAGGCAATTGTGCCGTCATGCAACACTGTACGCAAATTAAATTTATATAATTTTTTTTCACACAAAATAGAGCTACTGGGTGGTTTATTTTTTGCTATATAAAATGAAAAGATCAAAAATTTAGAAAAAACTATATTTTTTCTACTTCCGGTTATAAAACTTATCTAATTAAATCAAATTTCTTTTTAAAATTAAGGCCAAAATGCATTCTGCTACATGTCTTTGGTAAAAAAAAAAAAAAAAAAATCCCAATAAGTGTATAATGAAGGTTTGTGTGAAAGTTATAATGTCTACAAACTATGGTGTGTGTGTATATATATATATATATATATATATATATATACAGTCATGGCCGAAATTGTTGGCACCCTTGATATTTTTCCTGAAAATCAAGTATTTCACACAAAAAAGGTATTGCATTAACACATGTTTTGCTATACACATGTTTATTCCCTTTGTATGTATTGGAACAAATATAAAACAGAGGCAGAAAAGCAAATATGACATAATGTCACACAAAACCCCAAAAATGGGCTGGACAAAAGTATTGGCACCCTTAACTTAATATTTGGTTGCACACCCTTTGGAAAACATAACTGAAATCAGTCGCTTCCTATAACCATCAATAAGCTTCTGACACCTCTCACCCGGAATTTTGGACCACTCTTCCTTTGCAAACAGCTCCAGGTCTCTCTTATTGGAAGGACACCTTTTCCCAACAGCAATTTTAAGATCTCTCCACAGGTGTTCAATGGGATTTAGATCTGGGCTCATTGCTGGCCACTTCAGAACTCTCCAGCGCTTCTTTGCCATCCATTTCTGAGTGCTTTTTGACGTATGTTTGGGGTCATTGTCCTGCTGGAAGACCCAGGATCTTGGACGCAAACCCAGCTTTCTGACACTGGGCCCTACAGTGCGACCCAAAATCCTTTGGTAATCCTCAGATTTCATGATGCCTTGCACACAGTCAAGGCACCCCAGTGCCAGAGGCAGCAAAACAACCCCAAAACATCATTGAACCTCCACCATATTTTACCGTAGGTACTGTGTTTTGTTCTTTGTAGGCCTCATTCCGTTTTCGGTAAACAGTAGAATGATGTGCTTTACCGAAAAGCTCTATCTTGGTCTCATCTGTCCACAAGACGTTTTCCCAGAAGGCTTTTGGCTTACTCAAGTACATTTTGGCAAACTGTAGTCTTGCTTTTTTATGTCTCTGTGTCAGCAGTGGGGTCCTCCTGGGTCTCCTGCCATAGCGTTTCATTTCATTTAAATGTCGACGGATAGTTCGCGCTGACACTGATGCTCCCTGAGCCTGCAGGACAGCTTGAATGTCTTTGGAACATGTTTGGGGCTGCTTATCCACCATCCGGACTATTCTGCGTTGCAATCTTTCATCAATTTTCCTCATCCGTCCACGACCAGGGAGATTAGCTACAGTGCCATGGGTTGCAAACTTCTTGATAATGTTGCGCACTGTGGACAAAGGCAAATCTAGTTCTCTGGAGATGGACTTGTAACCTTGAGATTGTTGATATTTTGCCACAATTTTGGTTCTCAGGTCCTCAGACAGTTCTCGTCTCCTCTTTCTGTTGTCCATGCTTAGTGTGGCACAGACAGACACACAATGCAAAGGTTAAGTGAACGTCTCTCCTTTTTATCTGCTTTCAGGTGTGATTTCTATATTGCCCACACCTGTTACTTGCCCCAGGTGAGTTTACAGGAGCATCACATGCTTGTAACATTCTTATTTATCCGCAGTTGTGAAAGGGTGCCAATACTTTTGTCCAGCCCATTTTTGGAGGTTTGTGTGACATTATGTCGAATTTGCTTTCTTTCCTCCCTTTTTTTGTTTTGTCCCAATACACACAAAGGGAATAAACATGTGTATAGCAAAACATGTGTTAATGCAATACGTTTCGTGAGAAAATACATGATTTCCTGGAGAAATATCAAGGGTGCCAACAATTTCGGCCATGACTGTATATATATATACATATATACATACACACACACACACACACACACATATATATTGATCAATCCTGATGTACTGGCGGCTGATCTAATTTCTTTAGGCCCCAAAATGCCAGGGCAGTACAAATACCCACCGAATGACCCCTTTTTGAAAAGTAGACAGCCCAAGGTATTTAGTAAGAGACATGGTGAGTTTTTTTTTTAAGTTGTAATTTTTTTTTTTTTTTTTACAATTTTTGGGAAAAATGAATAAATTGTGTTTTTTTTTTTTGTTTACATACAGTCACCTGTGTAGTACAGCGTCATCATATGAATAGTGTGGCAGTGATCAGGGATACTGACTGGTGACAGTATTTAAAAAAAAAAATGATATATACAAATTTATTTATTTTTACATACTTTCGTCAGAGTAGTTCACCATCACCAGAGTGACACTGCACTAATGGAGAGGGGTTGTGATCAGGGACTTTTTTTTTCCTTTTACACTGTTATTGCTTATGCAGTGATGATCACTTTATAAGAAACAGTTTTAGCTGTTGTGAATGGGTTAACATTCATGAACAGCTTGCTTATGGTTGTGATCTGTGATTGGCTACAGCTAATCACATGGTACGTGGTAGCCAGGTACCATGTGATTGCTGCGGGCCAATTACAGATCACAACCTTCAGCAAGCTGTTCATGAATGGAAATCCATTCAGAATAGTTTGTTTACATCCTGCTCTCCAGTTCCCTTGTTACCTCCTCCCATGCTCGCCTCCAGAGCCTCTCCCATCCTCTAGAACTGCCCGCCCCAGTATGTCTGGTCAGTTCCTACCCTGTCTGCCTTTAGGCGATCCTTGAAAAATGCATTTATTCAGTGAAGCCTACCCCCACCTCCGCCCACAAGCTGTACTTGAGTCACCTCCATCAGATCATCCCCCGCAGCTATTACCTTTTGTACCACCTCCCCTTCCCTTTAGATTGTAAGCTCCAGGAGCAGGGCCCTTCCATTCCTTCTGTATTGAACTGTATTGTAATTGTATTGCCCCCTTTATACTGTAAAGCGCTGCACAAATTGTTGGCACTATATAAATCCTGTATAATAATAATAATAATAGGTATCAGGTGATCGCTCTGACCAATCACAGCGATCACATGATATCCGGTAATAGTAATCTGCTGTGTCCAGTGTCATCACTAAACCAACACCAGCATCCAGAAAGCAGATGCTGAGTCTAGATAGCAGAAATGGCATTTGCCTTCTGGAAAGAAGGGGTGATGATGGTATGCAGTAAAAAGACTACAAATAGTTTGAGAAGACAGATTCTTAGAACATCAATATGAGAAGATCGCTGGCTGACTGGTAGGACATGATACATGTAGTTTTTCTACAGGTGAAGATAAACATATAAAGCTTTCTGAACATGGCTGCTTACCTTCATATCATAGACTCCTGGCGGTACATCTCCTCCTGTCCATTGTGGTCTGCCACCAGCCATATAATGGCCGCTGTTTGGGTTGTGTGGAGGAGGGGCTGCCGGGGGCCACTGGTATGGGTTGTGGGCTCCATACATGTTCCAGTTGTCATTTTGTGGACTCTGTTGAGGCATTCCCTGGAAAACACGATGCCTTGCTATAATTTACCACATTTACTAATGCAATATAAATAAGTAGAATTCTTCAGTGTTACATCTCCATGTTCATTACAATCAAGTACAAGATAAGCTCTGCCCAGTCTTGCATGCGTTTTCTCTGGCAATACAAGTAGTTAGCACTGGTCAATGGCACTTATGTTTTTCCTAGAACCTGTTGGAAAGAAAGCTTTTAATTAAGTCGTCTGTTCAAATCAAACTGGAATGAAGGCAGCCCATACATTAGTCATTTTTCTCTTTCAATCAGGTTGAATGAAAAAAAAAAAAAAATTACCCGATTCATCCCATCCACACACTCTGTGGATGGGGGAATCCTTCCCCAAGTTATTGTATTCTGACAGTAGGGAGACTTCCAACGAAAGAGTGGCCCTCTGATCTTCTGCCCCACTGCTGCTCCCCTACTCCTTGCATTTGCCAGCAATTCTCAGACTGTACTAGCAGCTACTGTCAAAATACAACCTTCTGACATGGCGTTTGATTTATCTGCAGATCAGAAGAATGAGCTTCAATCTGCATATGACGTCAGGTAAAGCAACTTGACAAGTAAAAAAAGTTTTTGTTTTGTTTTTTTAATATGCAGCTGGTTAGTGATCTCGGGCTTTCCCAGGTCACGATTTGTAGGTAAAGATATTTTTTTTAGTTTTAGATCTATTTGGGAAGGATTGGAGCCTTTGTTAAGTTTTTATCACTGTGTGTCCCCACTGGAGAAATTCCCCATCACTGAAACAGAAAAGTGAGAGGAAACCCGGAATGTTAGGGTTATTATTATTATACAGTATTTATAAAGCGCCGATAGTTCACTCAGCGCTGTATATTACAAAGGGGGACAGAACATGCGACAGAACAATACTGATACAATGCAAAACATGAGGGGATTGAGGGCCCTGCTCTTTCGAGCTTACAATCTAGGAGGGAGGGGATGGTGGTACAGGAGGAGATAGCTGTGGGGGATGGAGTGGTAGGAAGAGTGGAGGAGGTCGGCAGGTTAGCAGGGGGTGGGGTAGGCTTCCCTGAAGAGATGGGTTTTCAGGGTGCGCCTAAAGAAGAGGACAGTAGGTGATAATGTGATGGGTTGGGGCAGGGAGTTCCAGAGGATGGGTGACACACTGGAGAAGTCCTGGAGGCAGGCTTGGGAGGAGGAGACCAGGGAACTAGAGAGAAGGAGGTCTTGTGAGGAGCGGAGTGTGCATGTTGGGTGGTACTTGGATATTAGGTCAGTGATGTAGTTCGGGGCAGTATGGTGGACAGCTTTGTACGTCAGTGTTAGGATTTTAAATTTGATCCGTTGCGCAATTGGAAGCCAGTGGAGGGATTGGCAGAGGGGGGTGGCGGAGACGGAGCGGTTGGAAATGTGAATGAGTCTGGCAGCCGTATTCAGGATCGACTGAAGCGGGGATAGCCAGCGGCGAGGCAGGCCAGTGAGGAGGGAGTTGCAGTAGTCGAGTCGTGATATGATGAGGGAGTGGATGAGCTGTTTAGTTATCACTGAAACAAGAGGTATGGGTAAGGCTAGCCATACACACATAGATTTATCTCAATTTAATCGATTGCCCCAGCCATGCTAAACAGTGTAGATGGAGGAATCTGTGCTGCCAACTATCATATTCAGCAGCTGCGACATCCAAGGTTGTCTGGTTGGTCATCTGCTTCAATTCAAAGTCACTTAAAGGTGAGCTCCACCCAAAAGGGGAAGTTCTGCTTTAACGACTGGTCCCCCCGCTCCCCATTAAGGATTGGCACCTTTGGGGAGCGGGTACACCCAATCCTCCTCTTCTCGGGTGCCCTGTTGGCACTCCAGGCCCCTCGCTCCTCCGTAGTGCCCCCAGAGAAAGCAGTTTGCTATGGGGGCAACCTGCTCTGCATGTCCATTCCCACACAGAGCCGAAACTCAGCCCGGCCCTCTCTCCTCATTGGCTCACTGGCTGTGAATGCATGAAGGTAAAAAACCCCGAGCCTTTAAAGCATCACCAAAGGAGATATTCAGGAACCGTAGTTTGACGTCGCTCCAAGGGCGTATGCAGTTTTAAAGAGTGACATGTTAGTAGGTATCTATAGGTAACCTCTTTTATATTTTCCCCAAAAAATAGTTTCTATAGTGCTTGTGTGCAATAAAATTGAAGAAAGTGTAATTTTTTCCCCAAAAAATGCATTTGAAAAACCGCTGCACAAATACCGTGGGACAGGAAAAATTGCAACACCCACCATATATTATTCTCTAGGGCAGTGGTCTCCAAACTGTGGTCCAGGGACCAGATGCATCCCTTTGCTTGCTTTCATCAGGCCCTCGGGGGACTATTTCATCCACTAACACCAACAATGTGGCATAATCCCCCCCCCCCCCACTGACACAAATGCAAGGGGCACAATTTCTCCCAATGACGAGGCACAATTCATCCAAATGACACCAATGTTGGGGCATTGTTTTTGCCATCAGACGTTGGGACCTTTTCTGCTCCCAATGGCCACAGTCCAGTCCTCCTAAAGTCTGAAGGACAGTAAACTGGCCCGTTGTTTAGAAAGTTTGGAGACCCCTGCTCTAAGGCCACTGGAAAAAAAAATTCTAATCAATTTTCTACCAAAAAAAATTTGATTTTTACATATATCTGAGAATTGCCAGAATTGGCCCAGTGTTGACGTGGGAGCCACCATGTTCACGCTCCTGTGCCAGGCTGTGTACATCTATAGTCACACACAGCACCAATAAGCCACACTCCTGCTCCCTCCTTTGACTGACAGCAGACTATGGCTCCCACATGCTTTCAGTATCTCCGGTAGTTTCCAGTAAAAGCAGAAAGTGAAAGGAGCAGTGCTGCAGCTGAGACAGGGATGGAACAGTGACAGGAGATGGAGGTGGCTAGAACAGGTAAAAGATTCCTTCCCTTTCTAGGAAGGGCTGTGCTGTATGACAGAGCTGTATAAATCTTAGGAATGGGTGGACAGAAATACAAATCCTACAGCAGGTAAAACAGCTCCAATATTTGAATATTATGTATGTATAGTTGACTTTATATCAGCCTTATGCAATCCCCTGTACAGTTGCAGTCACATTCAGAGATTGAGAGATAAAAATAGAGAGACCACTAGGTGTGCTGCTTGCAAAAGTGCTGACAAGGAACAATGTGACAAGAGCAGGGGGTAGAGGAAGACCCAGTCTGCTCCTTCCCTGTCCAATCAGCAGGCCATATTACTAACTGCAACAGTGACCGCGGTACAAACCACCTGGTTGTGCAGGTGAATAAACTCTCTAATAATGTATACAGTTCATCTGTATGTAGAGGTTTTCCTTGAGTTCAGCATTAATTGCTTCTTAGATGAACAAATCTATACAGAATTCACAAAGCAGCTGGTTCATGCAAAAGATATTTCCAAGATACCAAGAAATGCTTGTTTTAATGACCATAACAGAAAAAGAACAAAACATTTTGGATACATTCGCCAACTTATTTCCTGGATTTATCCAGTCATGCATAATGACTTACACATACCAATGTCAGTCTAGAAAAAGGCAATCATTACTCACCGGAGGAGCGGAGTATTGTGGATATTGAGGAGGCTGTTGAGCATAACCCCAATGTGGAGGGGCTTGCGGTGCACCAGCTTGTTGTTTGTAAGGATCAACAGTATAATGAGGCTGTGAGGGAGGAGGAGGAGGAGGTGGTGGTGGTGGTGGATAATAGGGATTTGGTGGGTGAAGGCTAGGATAAGGAGGGTTCATTGCAGACTGACCATAGGCTGGTCCATAGGAGCCATTGGCATAGTGCTCCATACCCTGTTAAAGACAAAAAAACAAAAACAAACCATTACACTTATCATATTTTAAATCTATATTTAAAAAACCCCACAACATATATTTTGTCTTCTACAAGCAAACCCCGATAAACTAAAAATGGGGTCCCTACCCCATGGCTTGTATAAAAGATCCTCCATTCAAATATACGATATAGAGCAGAAGAGATTGGCCCCCTTTGTGCTACTACAGATAACAGGTAAGAACATACCTGTCCTCCAACTGTGTAATTGGGGGGATAAGGAGGTCTGGAGTGACCTGCACAAGACCAGCCACTTGGATCATACCCCGAATATGATGTGTTCTAAAAAAGAAAAGACATGTCTTTAGGGCTGAGCTTTCACATTTGAAAATACAAAATGCAACAGTAATGCAAGCACAGTAAATACGATGCAACAATTAAAAAAATAGATGGAAACCGCTTAGTATATTAAAAATAAATACATTATATATATATATATATATATATATATATATATATATATATATATATATATATACACACACACACACATACACACACACATACAGAGTATCTCACAGAAGTGAGTCCACCCCTCACATATTTGTAAATATTATATCTTTTCAGTGACAACACTGAAGAAATGACACTTTGCTACAATGTGACGTAGTCAGTGTACATCTTGTATAACATGTAAATTTGCTGTCCCCTCAAAATAACTCAACACACAGCCATTAATGTCTAAACTGCTGGCAACAAAAGTGAGCACACCCCTAAGTGACAATGTCCAAATTGGGTCCAAAGTGTCAATATTTTGTGTGGCCACCATTATTTTCCAGCACTGCCTTAACCATCTTGGGCATGGAGCTCTCCAGAGCTTCACAGGTTGCCACTGGATCCTCTTCTACTCCTCCATGATGACATCCCGGAGCTGGTGGATGTCAGAGACCTTTGCGCTCCTCCACCTTCCGTTTGAGTATGCCCCACAGATGTTTCATGGTTACACTGTTGCCACATACATCTGGCCAGTGAGATGCAGTAGAAGAGGCTGCGGTTGTGTGTCGGGGTTTGTGTAAAGCAGCCATATATACACTGATGTATGCTCTTAACACACACCGTTTGCATTTGGAAGATACGTTGCAAGTCATTACGCAGGCTCCGCACAATGTACTGCTGTGTACATGAAGTCTAACAGCTTGCACTCTATTACATGTGCACAACTTTTGGTTACAAATAAACATTTAGCAGCCGACAAAGGATTCCCAGAGCACTATTGGTTAGCTAAACAGTGCAGCAGAACTGCCTGCTCTGAGGCACGAGCTATCTAATTGAAACTAAAGAGAGAGTTCATGAGGGAAGGAGTCACCACTGACACAAATGTGCCAGTTAAAATTTATGTAGAACTCCCTGGGTTTCCTTGTGCTGAAAACGGACATCAAAATGCACATAATTAAAATGGTATTAAACCAAAAATTTAATATATTGCAGCTTACGAACCATTAGATGTGGTGGCTGCATCCGTTTTCTTTTATTTGGCTTTTTTCCCTTTGTTTTCCCCTGGTGATTTGCCCAGTAATACACTTCCTGTATTAGTAAGACACCACTCTGGATGAAGGAGAACAGTGTGCAACTGACAATGCTGCTGTCTGTTGAGCCTACTAGCAAAACTGAAGCCAAACTCCCACTCACACTTTATAATCAGTTACAGCAAACAGGTTTTTTTTTCATTTTGGAATAAAAGGTTTTACATGAATAAATAAAAGCCGATCATTTAATCACCCGTCTGTGTTAAATGGTTTATCTCTCAGCCATGTAAACTGATATATTCTGCTGGAGAACTTGTGCTTTTGAAAAACAACAAACCAAATATTCTGTCTGGATCACCAGATGAAAATAGAAAAAGAAAGCCTAAAAAAGGAAACTAATACAGCCATCACATCTCTGAGCTAGTAAGCTTCAATATAATAAAATTTTTGCTTTTTAACTTAATACTACTTTAATAATTTTAAATAAAGCGAACGATAAATTCCAACATCTAACATAGCATGGATAGTGCTTGTGAATGATTTATGGTGTGCAATTCCTGTATGTCCTAGTGCACATGTGTCAAACACATTTCATGTGGCCCTCAAACCTCTCCCCCAGTTGTGGCAACATCACCCGCCCCCAGGCTGCACCCCCACCTTGTCTCAGCAGCAGAGAGGAGGAGAGAACTTCTACAGATCCTGCACCTTTCTGTGCATCAGCAGCGCCCTCTCATCTACGCCTCCCCTTGTATCAGAATTCTGCAGACTGCAGCAACTGACTCCAGCCCTCCTCTGGTCCTCCTCCAGACACTTTCTGCTTCCCAGCTCCACCCTCAGATTGTTCCCGGACAAGGCAAGGGGGTGCACTGTGCCATAAGAGGGTGGGTAACTCTTGATTTCTACTGATGAGGGTGCTTTTAAAGTCTGATGTGGGGGGTGAGGTGCTCTGGACATCTTGTTTTACAGATGCAACCCCCCCTTGAGGGCAACCATAATGCTGATGCGGCCCATGATGAAATGGAGTTTGACACCCCTGGCCTAGTGCATACACATCTCTCTAGGCTTCTAAAAGGGACCTTGCTTATATTCTCATTTGCCAAGATTTTCCAATTACAGAAAAATAATGTTCATCTGTAAGAATCCACTTTTCTAAAGGCCACGATTTCCACCCCCCCCGTTAGAAATATTCAAATCTGACATTAAGCTGAACCTGTCACATAATCCAACAATCCTAACGGAACCTGTCACATAATCCAACAATCCTAACTGAACCTGTCACATAATCCAACAATCCTAACTGAACCGTCACATAATCCAACAATACTAACTGAACCGTCACATAATCCAACAATCCTAACTGAACCGTCACATAATCCAACAATCCTAACTGAACCGTCACATAATCCAACAATACTAACTGAACCTGTCACATAATCAAATACTAACTGAACCTGTCACATAATCCAACAACACTAACTGAACCTGTCACATAATCCAACAACCCTAACTGAACCTGTCACATAATCCAACAATACTAACTGAACCTGTCACATAATCCAACAATACTAACTGAACCTGTCACATAATCCAACAACCCTAACTGAACCTGTCACATAATCCAACAACCCTAACTGAACCTGTCACATAATCCAACAATACTAACTGAACCTGTCACATAATCCAACAATACTAACTGAACCGTCACATAATCCAACAATCCTAACTGAACGTGTCACATAATCCAACAATCCTAACTGAACCTGTCACATAATCCAACAATCCTAACTGAACCGTCACATAATCCAACAATCCTAACGGAACCTGTCACATAATCCAACAACACTAACTGAACCTGTCACATAATCCAACAATACTAACTGAACCTGTCACATAATCCAACAACACTAACTGAACCTGTCACATAATCCAACAATCCTAACTGAACCGTCACATAATCCAACAATACTAACTGAACCTGTCACATAATCCAACAATCCTAACTGAACCTGTCACATAATCCAATACTAACTGAACCGTCACATAATCCAACAATACTAACTGAACCTGTCACATAATCCAACAACACTAACTGAACCTGTCACATAATCCAACAACACTAACTGAACCTGTCACATAATCCAACAATACTAGCAAATTCTAAGCATGGTAGCTATGACAAAAAGTGATGGGAAAGGCGACATTTTATTCCAGCAGCAAAAGGTAAAGAGGAATCTCTCAATGGGAACACAGACATCAAAGAAACATAAACCTGAACTAGAAGCAAAAAACCCCAAAACTACCCAACCCCTCTGCCCCCCCCCCCACCACCAAATATAAAAAAAGTTTTGGCTAAAGATCAGGGGTAGACTAACCATTTGGAAACGAGGGCCCGGGGTCAGTAGGGGGCCCCATGAGATGCCCCTGGTACCTTTTTCATAGGCTTTTTTGAGTTTGGGCAAGGACACAGGGGCCCCATGATCCCCTATTGCCCGGGGGCCCCATGAGTTGTCAGTCCGCCCCTGCTAGAGATACATTTTTAGGATGCCGGACTTTAAATGTCATATTCATCTCCAAAGCAGCCCATAGACCATTCAATTAAGTAGCAGAACTAGCTTGCCTTGCTCAATACACAGGGCAGACAGGCTGGTGACCTTACCTTGGAGGTGCATTACAGGGAAGTGTCTTATTCAAATCTTGTTGCGTGATTTAAACAAGCATGAGTCAGTGAGTGAGGACACCATGCACAGGGTGAACGGGCCGAGCCGCTGGAGGAGGAGTGCTTGTATCATCATGCTCGGTACAAGTATAGACATACAGTCCTGGACAGATACCAGGATCAACCAAGGATGACGGCATGCAAGGTTGTGTAATGTCCTGAGAGACATCTATAGGAACATTTCTGGATGCAAACTGTTACAGCATATAGATTATTTAAAGGGACACTGGGACTTTGAAAATTCCTGGAAAAGATACATCTTTGTAAAGCCCCCCCCCCCTCCAATGCTCACCTTGCAGGCACCTCCTCTATGCTTCTCCGTGGTAGCCGGAACTCAAAACCCCAGTGTCAGGCACTAAGGGGAGCAAGGATGTCACTCCCTGGTCATGTGACAGGGCTTATGTATAGCAAGAGACTGCTAGATCTGAGCACTGTCACAGAGGAGATCGCATGCTCTCCCATACTGAAAGCACTGGGTACTGTCACTGTCTGCGATGGAAACATGAGCGGAGAGGGATCTCTAGGAATGGGAGGTGGGTGGCTTTTACATACACTGTCACTTGTCTCTTTAAAGTTGAACTAAACTGTATATTTGTAAACTTCCCCATCCATTCACGTTTCCGTGCTTTACATTTCTAGCTGCAGCCATCTTGATTCATGTAGTGTTTACTTCCTGGAATCCATCTGCCCTTAGCTCAGGCATTCAAGCAGGAGGGTCTGTTTAGCTGAGAAAGCCCCTCCTCCAAGATGACAGAAAGAAAAAAAAAAACATTATAACTGCTGGGATGTATGACAGAATTTTGGCCTAGGCCAGAAACCAGGAAGCAATTGAAGATATGTAAAAAAAGAAAAAAAAAAAAAAAAAAGCCCATTATGACTGCTGGGATGTACAACAGCATTTTGGCCTAGGCCAAAAACCAGGAAGTAACTGGAAATATGTAAAAAAAAAAAAAAAAAAAAAAAAATGTTCAAAACAAATATATCTTCCTATCCATTTACTAATGCTAGCAGCAAAAAGATTACAACTATTTCATGTTGATAGAGAGAGTTTAGTTCAGCTTTAAAAGTGGTTGTAAACCTTTACGTATACCCAGTGAAGT